TTCCTTTTTTGTTTTTTGTTTTTTTGTTTTTTTTTGTTTTGTTTCCCCTCATAAACCCGAACAATGTAGGTGTCTAGTCATATACAGGTCTTAGCAAGAAAGAAAGTTCGAGAAATTCAAGCCGCCATTAAGGTACGTCTGGCTTGCCCAGTTGTAGGGGGCTTTTCATCTCCATGGTTACAGGCTTTTCCTTTGTTTTCCTCCCTTCCCCTACCCTGCAGGTGTCTAGTCACATTCAGGTTCTTGCCAGAAGGAAATCTCGTGATTTTCATTCCAAGCTAAAGGTATGCGCTTTCCTGCTTTTTGGCTTGTGGTTGCTATGCATCTCACTTCCTGTTTTCCATGGTGACTGGTGAATGCCTGGTGCTGGGATTCTCGTAACCTAGTTTCCTCGCATGTGAGAGCTGTTTACATTTCTTTGTGTCTAATCTCTCTGTTTCTGAACTAGCCTCACATTAAGCCCAGTATGTGTGCGCGTGTGTGTCCCTAATAACAATGCAAATGCAGCAGAGAGCTGGTCTTGATAACTTTTCAGCACAAAAACCTGATTTTTTTTTTTAACCTTCAAATATCCAACCAAGCAGCCCTGAGCTAGGAGAAGGAAAAAAAATCCAGGGACACAAAGTTGGTGTGGAAATTATAAATAAGAATCATTTCCACAGTGGTCATCATGAAATTACTTTTAATAAAATATTTAGAAATTAATTTGTGCTTTTGATGTATTTTCGAAAATACTCAGAAAAAAATATAACCTTTTCATATAACTTTTTTCATGTGTTCTTCCAACACAGAGTATTTTCTGCCAGATTTCTTCCACAATGCTTAATATTGTTTTCTAAGTTAAAAAAGAAATTTAAGGTGAGACCTTACAAAAAACATCTTAAAGATGGGAACACTCCTATCAAATCCATATTTGCAATTCCATTTATAATTGAGTTTACTGTAAAATGTTTTTACATGTGCCTCAGTTTCCGTCCCTTAAAAATATATTTCATAGCAAAAATGGTGTCATGGACAATATTTTAAATACAAGTTCTCCCTTCCAAAATTTGCAGTAAAGCATGTGTGACGTTCACCACCTCCCACAATCCTATTTTAGAAATGCAGAGATTATAGTTTATATGGAGGAATTTTTATAATAAAAATGAATTTGTAGCTCATATTGTTGCCTTTCCCACATGCCATTTTTGGTTCTGTCCTGTTTTTTCCACACATTAAGTAAATTCATGTTTTCATTGTAAACCTAAAGAATAGCGTGTAATTTCACAGCACTGAGTGGTGAACGCTGGGACCCTTCCCAAAGTCCTCCAACTTTTTTTATGCAAACAAGTCTGGCTGTGGAATAGCGCTAGTTACCAGGAAGGAGCATTTGGTGTGCCCTCTGCAGTGGGCAGCATGCTGGCTCGCTCGCACGTGTGGCTGACGGTGGCTGGCTTTTAGCTGCACTGGCTGAGCAGTTGGAAGACTAAGATAACTTCTTAGATCCTGCTTTTTAACCAAAGGTGCATTCCTCTCTATGTGGATGTAACTACCTCAGTATTTGCTCAAGTTCTGACTGTTTCTAGTTTCTCTGTGCTAACAGATTAATGGTGTACAAAGAGGTGTACCGACATCAATTTTGTGTTTCCATCTGAGATGTTATAAATTGCTCTATTTCTACGCTATCTGTGTGGTTCCTATGGACCCTCCGGGCACACAGCCCTAAACCGAAAACCCTGTAAGTGACGTAGGACACACTGCTGTTCAGAAGGGGTCCCGTGGGTGCTGGAAGCACTCCTTTTCTCACTTGATGATTTAAGAATCTTCCTCAATGGAAACAGTTTTGCCCTTGCCTTATACATATCATACACACAAACATACAGTTGTATTTGTGTTTGTTCTTAAAAAATAAAAATAAAAAGACTTCCCCCACTTACAGCCCTGGCCCACTCCTGTGGGGCAGACACAAGGAGGCAGAGACAGAGGCAGTCGGGTAGCAACTGGCTCCAAATTTCAGCTCCAAGAACCACTTCCATCTTCCTGTAGTTTCTTTCCTTCCTCGCTACCCCATTATTCTCAGAAAAATGGAGGCCTTCGTTCTTCCCATCAGCTAATACCAATTGTGTGTTCCAGGCATGGCGCTCATCACGGTGGGCAGCTAACAGCCAACCCCTTATTCACAGAGCGGGCCATGCAAAGGGGAATGTGAAATTAGGGCACTGCTGGATAAGTGTTAGCAGGAAGAGCCAAAATAAAATGTGGAGGGAATCCCAGGGACGAGCGGCCTGGAGGACGTGCTGCTGTTTGGGAGCTGAAAGGCAGGAGGCGGTGTGGCACAGAGCCTCTCCCGCAGGTTCTCCCGTTTACCGGCACTACACAGAAAGTTCCAGCCATTATGCAGATTGAGGAGTATTTAGGAGACCAGGGTTCCAGGAGTTTAATTGACTTGCCAAAAGCCAGGCCTAATAAATGTCAGAGTTAGGATTTGAACTCAGATCTTTCTGAATCCTACACCACTGCTCTTTCAGATAGGCTGTTACTCCTGGAGATGGGAGAATGTTTTCAAATCGAAGGCTTCACATCAGCACACACTGTAGATAACCTGTCACCCCTCCCATCCCTTGGAGCTAGGCAGGCAGCCCTTGCTACCAGCCTTTCCTCAGCACCCATATTTTATTTTTTTAAAATGTATTTTATTGATTTTTTTACAGAGAGGAAGGGAGAGGGATAGAGAGTTAGAAACATCGATGAGAGAGAAGCATCGATCAGCTGCCTCCTGCCACACCCCCTACTGGGGATGTGCCTGCAACCAAGGTACATGCCCTTGACCGGAATTGAACCTGGGACCCTTCAGTCCCCAGGCCAACGCTCTATCCAGTGAGCCAAATCAGCTAGGGCAGCACCCACATTTTAGAAGACGACTTTTTGAGCTCTTGCTCAAAATGTGGACTTAATTTGTGATTGACACTGTGGTGATTGTCAGTAACCCAGGGTGATGTGATCGTAGCTGCGGTACTGCTGTGTCACCACTCTGAGGGCATTGGGACAGTTGAAGAGAATAAGGTTGTCACCTGCCTGCAGAGATGTGGCTGCTTTGACCTCCCAGGGGCATTATATATGAAAGATGCCCTCCTTAGCCTCCCTAGCAGTCATCCCCAGGACATGGGCTCAGGTCTTATGACCTTGTAGGAGGAGTAGCTCTCACCGCTCCATCTGTACTTGCTTGTTCAGCTTGGGAGTCACACACATTTGTGGGAGGCAGGGATGAGCATCCTTGCTGAGATCATTGTGGGGTCAGGCTTATAGCCACATCTGCTTGGCCTCCCACACTAACTAATGAGATAAAGTCTCTACTGAAAGTTGAAGTCATCCCCACCAACAACAAAGATAGCTTCTGGGATAGCAGAAAGTATCCAGACTTACAAGAGACGCTGTGCTTTGCCTGAGAAGATGTAGCAAGGCTTCCTGGAGACGGTGGCTGGTGACGGACCATCTCAGGACCTATCCTTGCAGTTCCTGCCTCAGCCAGGCTGCTCACTATTCTCCATGTGCTCAGAAGTCTAAGGATCTCTGTTCTCTGGGGTGGACCACGGCGTGTGGCCCTCCTGTGGAGACTGAAGCCAAACTCCATTTCCCTGCCCTCCTTCGGAGTTTGAATAAGTGGTTGGTTGACTCTCACCTGGGGCCACTGCCAGCTATGGCTTCCCCATGAGCCCGCTTAACCTTATAGGCTCTCTTCACTTCCTGGGAAAGGGTGTAGTAGAATTTTTTTTTTTTTTAGTCTAGTGGTTTTGCAGACATTTTTAAGCAGCAAAACTCATGTTTCAGATTGAAATCTTACTTGAAACCTTCAACATATAAAAGAATAAAGGCTGCTTTAATTGAAGCTCAGACTCTCTCATTCTCAGCCATGGCTTCTTTGGCTGTTCCATTGAATAAGATTCGGAAAACCACAGTGCTTTAGGCAGAAGGAAGAAGAGATGTCTGCCTCTCAGCTTTCCCTCCTAACCTTACAGAAGCTCACATGTCCCATTTAAGTTTTTAGTTCTATGGTCTGTTCTGCCATATTCCTCCAAAGAAAACACTCAAGGAGAGAGTGGTCGTTCTCATGTCAGTTCTGGGTGAGTCATGCTCGCGACGCAGGTCTGTTGAGTGAGTTCCAAAGGTCAGCGTAGCAGCGGCTAACAGCACTGCTTCCCACAGTGCTCGTTTGTGAGCCACATCCCTCTTTTTGTGTGTGGACTTTAATTCCAATTTTTATAACAAAATGTGTTATAGTAAAAGTTTAAGATTCTGTGTCGAGTCCACCTCTAAAAGCACAGAAGTGATGACTTAATTCAGTCCAGCCAACTTCTCATTGAGCACCCAGTGTGCTCTAGACTCCTTAACAGCGGTTCTCAACCTGTGGGTCGCGACCCCTTTGGCGGTCGAACGACCCTTTCACAGGGGTCGCCTAAGACCATCCTGCATATCAGATATTTACATTACGGTTCATAACAGTAGCAACATTACAGTTATGAAGTAGCAACGAAAATAATTTTATGGTTGGGTCACAACATGAGGAACTGTATTTCAAGGGCCAGAAGGTTGAGAACCACTGCCTTAATAGAAGTTGGGCACAGAAAATTACAAGCAAAGTCTCTGTTCTTGAGGAACACTAAACTTTTCTGTTATTTTTGGGGAGAAGACAAGATTCCCAATAGATTATCCTCAGCTGGGGATAGGTGGGCTCTGCGGGAGAAATTTAAGAGTTGTGCAAAGACTGCATAGTGAGCGGGTGGTTAATCCTGAGGGTGTGGGAGACTAAAGAAAGCCTAGTGGAAGAGATACCCTTAGAACTTAGCAAAGAGGAGGGCAGAACTTCCACTGAGATATGGGGGTGTTTGGGGAACCATGAGGAACACCATCTGGTTGGAGGCAATGGATGGGAAATGCCACCCGAGGAGCCTAACATTCCTGGAATCACCCCATGGAAAGTGAGGTTCATCTGTGGGCCATGGGGAGCAGGCGGGGGGGAGGGTGATATTTACTAATTTAGGGGTTGCTGTAAAGACTGAGTGAGAGAGATGCATGGACCAGGGCCCACCACACACACACCCCTGGGGCCTAAGGGCACTCATCGGTCCTTATCATCCCCTTTGGCTGGCTCCCCATTCCAGTCCACTCGGACTGCTGTGTACACTTTCTTCCTCACTGTAGAATAAATTCTGTTTAAGAGTTCTATTCTTATTAAGTTGGAAAGGGTACACTGCATCTGTTCAATAGCAGCATTTGAAACTTAGATTATTAAAGATTGGGTTCTCTT